AGGGTAAGCCTAACCCTCTTAAAGCTATACATTTTTCTTTTTGCTTTTTACTTTTTTTGACTATCCTAGTTGCTTGCTGTCTAGTACCTAACGTCAACATTGCCCCCCACCTTTTTGCCTGTCCATGAAAGCATCTAGTTTCTTCTTAAAGATAGTCACAGCGCAGGGCAGCCACTACTTCGTCATCTAACGCATTCCATGTGTTCACCACTCTGCAAGTAAAAAATTCCCGTCTCGACCTGAGCCGCACCTGCGGTTTGCGCAACTTAAGTCGGTTACCTCTCGTTCTCTTGCTGTCATCAAACTGGAAAAACCTACCACACTCGACATCATCTATTCCTTTAATTATCTCGAACGCCTGGATGAGATCGCCCTCCTTAACCTTCGTTCGAGCGAGTACAGTCCCAACACTTCCAAACGCTTCTCGTATGATAGTCCCCTAACCTTAACCATTCTCGTGGCCTTCCTCTGTACTCCCTCGAGCGCCAACAGATCGCCATTATTTGTAGGCTTCCAAAACTGGATGCAATATTCCAACTGGGGTCTCATCAGCGCCGCATACAACGGAAGAATAACGCGAGATGTCCTACTTGCAACCGACCGACGAATGTAACCTAGAATCCTATTGCATTTGGCCACCGTCGCTTGCGCGTGNCCCCACTCTCCCTGACCCCTCTCCATCCACCCAACCTGCCACCCATCCTGTCTCTATTCCCAAAGAGACCCCTTCCTCCACGAAACCTCCAAGTCCTTCTGCCCCAGGACCCATGAACATCCCTCACCCCCATAAGCTACTCACAACTTTTGTAGAAGTAGCCACTAAGTGCTTCCATGCCTTAAGAGAATGCAGGTGGGACCTGAAAGCCGCATCTTTCTAATCCTATCTGAAATTCTTCTCTCCTACCAACTATGAATATTTCCCCTTCGCGTGCCTTGACCATCCTCCACATCAACATTAATGGTTTCAACCCTAAAAGAGCTGAGTTCTTAAACTACATTGAAGAGGCCAGGCCTCATGTTATCTGTGTCAGCGAACTCAAGCGGAAATTCCCCCCTCGGATTAAAGGATTTTATTCTTTCAAACCGTACCATCCCAATAGGCCTTACAATGGAGGCTCTGCCATCTTTATTTCTGACAAACTAGATGCTGAGGACATATCACCTCCCCAGCCTAACGCTATTGAACTAATTGGAATATCCATCAAAGTAAATTCATTAAAACTTGACATCTTTGACCTCTACTGTCCACCCTCATCCATGACTCAAGCTGACCTTGACAGTGTTCCCTCACACCTCCAAGATCCCACCCTCCACTGAAATATCTTTTACCTCCCTCAGCAACCCCTGGCCTGACAACACCACCTGGTGGCTGGCCGCGGACCCACCCAACCCCAAGTCCTGGACTTCCAACAACTTCTGAAGAATTACCACCTTTCCATAACCAAAACTGTATATTCCACTTCCTCCCATCTTGTATCCTCTTCCTTTTAAGGGCATACTGTATAATAAATGGTCATTGAACAAAAAAAAATCGGAAAATGGAACCCTCAGCGAGGCAGCAAAAGTCAGGCTCGACCTAAGCCCTGTCAAGTACGGTCGAAACATTCTGCGACGGCCCGGCTAGACCGCAGCCCGGGAAAGTATAGTAGGCATCCTACGTGGGACACAGCCCCTCATCCCTCCTCTCTGCCGCAGTGCGTGTGGAGACCTTAGGGGCATCTACGACGGTGGAGTGGGACCCTCCGAGAGGAAGACTCCGAGCGACGCCGGCCCCCGGACACCAGGACCCCGCAGCGCTTTCGGATCCAGAAGAAGAGTTGGTTTTATTACTGGACGAATAGAGAAAAATAATAAAAACACCTGTTTGTTGTCACCGTATCCCCTTGTGTCCTTATTTCCACCCGGACCCGACTACGACACGAAAAAGGTCGTACCGTAACAATAGCTATCTTTGTGCCCAGACGTCCGGGGTCGCGAACTCATAAGCCATTGCTTATCGGGCTAAGATTTTGCAGCAGTAGCAGCACCTAATCCCATAATGGAACGAATGGATAGGAGAAATCCGTAGGACCAGAAGTTGGTGTTGTCCTTTTGAAGTTTTTCACTCGTTCAATTAAACTTCATGAAGACCAGCGGAGTAACACGATTGAATGAACGTTTATATTAATATTATATCTAGAAATCTGAAAAAGACAGAATTAACTGTCTATATAAGCTTTCAATTGAAAAAATAGGGTTCAATTTTTGAACCCTGTTATACTTTCAAAGAAAGCGCTCTCACATCGCATCTCCAACAAGTGTACCTGTTTATAGCATTAAGGCTTCTGACCGCTTATATCCAAAGGACCACCAACTGCCTGGTTGTCGTCCCTCCTGATGTCCACACTCCTCTTCACCTCTCTCCCGAGTAAAGGTTACGTACAAATGTGTGGCAACCCTGTTAGCACATACATCTCCCGCTTGCTTGTGGAACAAGTAACTTCTGGAACATGTGACCATTTGCTACAGCTTCTCCTCTACCATTTCCCATTCTACCCTAGACTAAGCCCTTCCACAACTCCTTAGTTACTCTGCAACAGGAGACTTCCAGCTCCACGCACGCTGCTCTCGTCGCTTACATCTCGGACTGTCTGTAGCAAGAAATCAGATTCTTTTTACTTCTACCCATTGCCATGATATTTCCGCCCATTCTTCGAGTCCACGGGTCTGTGATTCTCAACACTTATTTTTCTAATAAATTTTTTTATATCCTTGTTGAACCACTGGCACCCTTTTCTTGAAATCCATGTCCCTTGCCATCCTATCAGGAGTCATCTTATTGCCCTATGTAAGATTAATGCCAAAGCCGCTCAGTTCTCTTTAAATCTCTCATTCCAGCTACATATGTATTGTCAACAATAGGGCCTAGGGCCCACATCACAAGAAAGGAGCTGTCTTGGCCTACTCAATAAATAAGATTAACCAATCAAGCCAGCTGCAACAATTGGCTGAGGAGCAATTAATATTTCCCCTACAGTAATTCCCCTCTCCCTCTTAGAAGAATACATGAACAAGTCCATTTCCAAACTGTAATTACTTAACAGATACACCACAGCTTGGTGTTACCATTACAGTACAATTCTGTTTTCCCTCCATCTCAGTTATTATAACTAGGTGTATATTGTCAAGATAGACAAAATGCCTTGTTGATGTGATAGGTGGCCTACATGGGAACACAATCGCATCTATTCAGAAGGCCAATGCCAGGTGCTTTAATTTTGGGAGTAAACTTGGACAAGCATGCATGCTGAGTCTTATTGACCCTACACATATGACAACAAAAACTTATTGTTGAAATGAATTCTTAAGAAATTCATGTGAAGCAATTGATGTTTCCCAAATACCTTTACCAATTATAATCTGAAGTTACAGGGTTGGTAAAAGATAGGATTAAGGAATCTAGGGAAGTTGGTGCTTACATTTTTCAGCCTGATAAGCCCTTTCCTTGACATAGCATGGAAAGGTCACCAGACTTTGGTGATTTTGGGAACATGTAAATTGCTGCATTTCAGATGTACTTAATGAAGGGAACTAAAGGTAGGTGCAAATTAGTTTCTTTGTTGACTTTGCAAGCCCCACAAATCTAATCAATTTTTTTTTGTGGAGGGGGAGTCAGGTTAGTTTTCATTTCTTTTGTGCATATTTCATGTGAAATGACCCAGCAAAAAAACCTGGAGATGACATGCTAATCCAGTCATTTTGAAACTCCATATGACAGTTTTTCATTTCAATTCAGCATGACTTTCATTGGAAATCAACAGATTGGTTTCAGTAGTATGAAGCCATATGCCTAGATGTGAAGTAAACCTAAGAATTTCTTACATGGAGTACTCACAGCACATCCCAGATGCAAGTCATTAACCCTTTGAGGATTGGATTTTTTTAATGCCTACAAGATCACCCGTAGTGAATACACGGAGGCCAGGAGAATGTCAGCCCATAAATGTACAGGCATACTTGTCAAAGGGTTAAGTGCATTTTGACAGAGTAATGGCTACTGTGGGAAATAAAACTTATTTTGCTTAAAAGCTCTGTCATACATTATAGGTATTGCAGGCTGTATCATATCCTTGGGTGAATGAACTTGTAGACGGGTTAGTGGAAAGGAAATGGGAATTGCATTTGTATGGATTTAGTGACCTGTCATGTAGTGTTTATCCCACTCCTTGTGAATTAAACACTTTTTTTTTAATTATCTCATCACCAAAACTATGCAATGATGAATGAAAAACCAAGATTATTCTCTTGTTCCATTGATCAAGGATTTATGTTTCCATTCTGGTCCATCTCCCATCCAGAATAAATCTTGGATGTAGTCACTTTTCACTTTTTCTGACATGGCATGCTTATTATTATATTCAGCCCTTTCAAGTTGAAGCATGAGCCAAAAAGGTTAATCTGCCTGCCTGGGCTGTCAGACAAGGCAACAGCTTTGAAAGGAGGCTGAAATTGCCTCTTGATCTTTCAATTCGCCAAATGCAGACTTACCTGCCACATCTTTCTCCCTGTTTATCTCAGAGATTTAGGACCTGACAATCTTAATATGGGGTGAGGCAAAAGTAATTGGCCTAAATATAGTAGTGTTATAGTAGGGTGGCTTATTTTGCCTAATTGTGTATGTAAACTCTTAGTCAGGAAAATCCGTATGAAGTAAGGCGAAAATTAATTTTCTGTGGCCTTTCCCTTTCTTCAACACCCTACCCCTGTTTTTTATGTGATAAACTAATGTTAGGCCTAGGCCTGGGCCTAAGCAACAAACTGCCTTGAGGTCACAACAAGGCCTACCTTATTTCTTTCAAAAGAAATTCAATCTTCTTGAGGTGGTTGAAGCAAGACAATAGGCACATTTGGTGGCATCTTAATATGAGACATGTTCTTTTGCACTTAGGCCTTGGATAATGTTAAGTTCATGAACCTTTCATGACTTTGGAAAACTATTCTGATTCTTTTTATACTTCTAGGTGTTATGTCGTATAATTCGACTTCAATCTCTGCTGTGATTGCCCAATTCAATCAAGATTATAAAATGGATCATCATCATCGAGGCAAAGCATTAATCTTTAACTATGAATCCTATGATCCAACTCTGAAATTGTTACGACGGGATGGTGCTGTGCGAGACAAAGATCGTCTTTGTGAAATTTTGAGTCATTTGCACTTTGAAGTGGATGTTTTCCTGAACATGCCATTTAAAAAAATAATGGATACTATTGACAAGGGTAAGAATTATGTTTTGTTTCAGAATAAGCCTGATTTTTCACTGTCAAAATACTTTTCTCCTTCATTTTATATTCATTTTCAGTTGCTAAGGAGAACCATCAACAATGTGATTGTCTGATTGTTTGCTTCCTCAGCCATGGGGAACATGGCTTCCTCTATGCCTATGATACTGCTTTCAAACCTCATCACCTGTGGACCCCATTCACTGCCAGTCAATGTCCATCCTTGGCTGGGAAACCAAAGATGTTTTTTATCCAAGTAGGTTTCTTGTATTCTGTTGCATAGTCATTCCCACTACTTGTGTCCTTGTAGTATTTCTCTTAGAAAATTGTTTTCTTCTATTCTCTGATTGGCTTGTGGATAAAATGTACCAAAATAATGTGCCAGGCCAGAAGCTAGACATGAATTTCACTCATAGCAGAAAGAAAGTGTTGTCCTATTTCTGCCATTTAAGCCTGACTTTCCTTCTGAAGACCTCCTATCTTTGTGACACAAGGGCCATTAACCCCTTCTAGTCCATTTTCATCTTGGGGAATGAGGAAACCTTCATGGTCCAGCTAGGTTGGAAGACCAGAACAGGAAAAGGACAGTGTCCAACCTGGTTGGACAAAGGACTGGAAAGTGTTAAGAAAGTTTTGTTCAGGGTTTGGGATTATAAGGAACTACTGGGGAGATGGAAAAGATGTTCAAAAGAAAAGAAGTTGCCATAGGCTGGGGTTGTATTTATATTCTTATCATAAGGATCCCCAGGACACTCAGGTGTGACATGTGAGGCTCCTCTTGAAAATGTACCCACATGAAATTTCCATATATGATGAGGTGTACAATTCTATATGGCCTTGTATGATGTGTAATATATTTGATCTGCATTACAATATCTAGAGGTATGGGCTAATGGCATCATGTCTGACATATGGTGAATGTCTGTATATGAATCTTATGATTGTAAGTGAACATAGCTTAAGGTCAGTGGTGTATTTTGGCTGAAGAACTAGGCAGGGGCAGGGCTGCCTTGCAGGCCAAAGTTCATGTCCCCCCCTTACTGACCCCCCCAACAGTACCATTTGTGCCTCTCTGGAGGCTGTGCCCACCAGTTTGCATGCCACTACTCTAGGACATTCTTAACACATGCATTTCATGTGTCATTTCCTTCTTATTAATGCTTCTCTTTCTTTATGTAAAGTGGGGGGCATGTGCTCCTGCTTGGTCCCCCCCCCCCCCCCCCCAATGCTATGCCACTGCTGGACAGTGAAAAACAGCAAGTACCAGAGAATATGCTTGATATGAAATATTATCTTACCAACATTTTCATTCATGTCCCAACCATACTGAATAGACAACTCCTTCAATTTATCTTTCATTGGATATTCCTCCTTAGGGTTATTTCTCACAAGAAATAGTATTTCCCATGTGAAAATTTCATATAAGACCATATATGAAATGGTCATATATTTAGCCAGTCTAACATATATGGGGTATATATGAGCATATAGAGTAATTCCTATATGAACGTACCTCGTATATGAAACATATGTGGTTTGACACAAGTCACATAAAATCATAGAATGAAAACATATAGCCTATTTCACCTGGCAGCAACTTTGATCAAATGTCCCCCCTTCCTGCAACCAACACCCCCAAGGTTAGTAAAACTCTCTGCCCAAATCTGGAATTCTGCAAAAGTCTATAAATGTAATATTGACAAAGGTTCATGGACATGTTCTTGTCTTGATACCTATCATTAGGACCATAAGGGTAAAGTGTCCTGTGGTTAATGATGAAGTTATCTTCAGCAGACAGTCTCTTGCCTTCATCTGAAACTATCGTAAGGATTTCAATTAGAATATTACCAAAACTGTGTTTTTGAAAATGCCAAATTTCGATGTCATGTGTTCTGTTCAGTTTAATGTACGATCTATGATTATTAATTATCAAGTTTAGGGCTGTTCCAGTTTGCCAAATGTAGGTAAGCCCACAAGAATTGCATGTGATATTTCTAACTAAATTACTGTTCTTGCAGAAAGGTTTGTTTAGATTCAGATCCCTTCCTTCGACCAAGTACGGACAGGTACAACAGCATAAGTTTTTTGCATTTGAAGGCCAATTGCTGAAGCACTACTAAGAGCAGCCAATCCTTAGAATCCTATTCATAATCTAGACTACTCCACAACAGGAAAAGTAAGCTTTTAAGGAATCCAAAATCCGAACTACACCTGATGTTAAAGTAAGAAGACAGAAAGGAGAGTTAGGAGAACCAAACATGCTGCTTAATTAACTCCAAAGCTGGTCATCCCCCTTCCCCAGAACTATCAGTTACAAAACTGCACTAAAGTAATTTCTGAAGCAAGATATATACCTTAAGCTGCTGATTGCAAAGTAAGAACTTTGACCATGTCAGACAGCAGGTGTTATAATATGAAGTCCTAATATATTTAACAATGGCTTTTTAGGTGAAAGCCTGGTATGGCAGTAGCCTGCTTTCAACCAAGGTGCAGAGAGAGTAAAAAGGGAATTAACTATGGTGCCATTCCCACCCATACCAATCCAAGTGACGGAGAAAAACCTTGCTCCCAAACCAAACCTGACAGATTGAATGACCAGACTATGGGAAGTATAACTGCAGAAAAGGACTAGGCTGAAGAGAGGTACAAGAGGAAGGACAGTGAAGGAAAATCCCAGAAATTGTCATGCAGCCTGTCTTCAGGGGGTTGAGGTTGCAAGCTTAAAATGACACCATATCCAGACTGCTTCTGCTGTTAGATGTTAAAGCTTTGAGATTAAATCAGAAAGGTAGAGCCTAGCTTTTCAGAGGCAAACCTGGCTTAAGTCCATCTGCCAGCGCCACTGTTTGCTATCAATTGGCTTGACCAGCCTTGCAACTGAAATTCATGACAAGACTAAGTCCCTAAGGGAAGTAACCCATCATGACAAGGACAAGGTGTACTGCAAAGATGGATTGCAACTCCTGATCCAATTTACCCAGTGAATTCTCCCAGTTCTTGTGGAATTTTCTCTTTCTCCACTCTATTCTTACTGAGCCATGGAATGTGGATAGATGTTTTGGGCACAGATCCCACAAATGCTTAATTTCTTCATAGCTGTTAGTTAGAGGTTGTTTGCTCACCTGAGCATCATCAAATCCATTTTTGCATTACACAACGCCATCCTACAGCATTAGTGTAAGCTTTCTCTAGCCAGTACAGTGTGCATTGATGGTGATTATGAGAATGACTTAAGCTGTGGCTTCATTCCTTCAACAGTTGAATGAATGTTGTAAGCCTTGTGTGTTACCCATCACTAATGGTCCCATGTTCTGGGAACAAGTCAGTCGGAAATAGGCTACGGTTCCATTGTAGGTAGGGGGTAGGAGTTGAGGCAAACCATGTGGATTGTGAGCTCATATTCAAATACAGACTTACTAAGCCTGCTTTTTTGGGTGGGTGTGGAGCTCTAGTGGTTTGAATGGTGGGATCACAATCCACTTGACAGTGGTGTCATGAGTTCAATTCCATGCACAGCCAACCTTTTTTGACTTGAGTTCCATTGTCCTGTCGAGTGCAGGATCATGATATAAGTAATACTTTTCAGCAACCTGTTGGTTAATATGATGTCAGACTAAAAGAGGCCTTAACTCAATGGAGTTTTTAATACTTCAGCTGGTGTGAGAGTCGAAGGTGCACCTTTCAGATGATTCAGCATGTTTCTTTTTGAAATGTGACTGCTTGATCTGGAATGCCTTCATGTGAATATGATAATTTATTCAATTACCTTTGTTTGATCTCATTTTTATATTTTATTGATTCTGTTCATAGATGTGAAATGCATCACTGATACATGTGCTTAGAAGGTATTTTTACATTTCAGGCATGCCGGGGGACAAATGTGGATGATGGTGTGGACATGAAAAACATGCAAAACAGTCATTCGGAGACAGATAGCAGCCCCGAACCTGATTCATACAAGATTCCTGTTCAGAGTGATTTTCTCATAGCACACTCTACTGTATCAGGCATGTTGCTGTCTTTCATTTCTGTTGACCTGCATTCATTATGAGAACTGATAATGTCTTACACTCCTCTGCCCTCATAGTCATCATTCTTTTATTGACGTCTCAACCTAGAAAGTGGCATGAGTGTCATTATTAAATTGCATGCACACCTTTGCCACTTACTGGTATACGTTAATCTGACAGGTGTTAACCTTTTATTGCATCATGTCCATGTGTGTGGATTTTTTTTAAATTTCTAGTGAATGCTCTGAATAACATTTTCCACAGCTTTCAGTTAAACGTCATCCTCTACATTTGAAAACATCACACCCATCAGAATGAAATCAGAGATGATGCACCCTGTCATTCTTCGGTGTCCTCTACAGATTTTCATCCAATAGGATGCCCTTTGTTGAACATGGATGGAATATTTATATAACTCTTTCCCATGCACAGGCATATCTTGATGTGTAACATTCCCTAACTCTCCTTGGGCAAGTAATAATTGTGGATTTCAATCATATTAATTGTGCTTGGTAGCTATTTCCACTTGATATCTGCTTTAGCATAATTGCAACAAAATTAACCAAATTAATTTTAAAATAAAACCAGGCTAACTGTGAAAAATGCCCTGAAGAGTAGTATATAGTTGAAAACTGAATTTTTTTTGTCCCACCCTCTTTATAGACTCACACCAGAGCACTTGATGATAATTCACTGTACTTCAGGTGATGCATTTTCAACCTCCAAAAACCCAGATCAGTAATTCTATATCAAAAGCAAAAACTGAAAGCAATTACCTCCTAACAAGGAACACTACCCAAGTGATAATTGCAGATTTTCACCAAACTTTGGTCATTGACTTCGTTTTGAGAGCCCTTTCAAACGGCACCAAAACTTGTGACTGGGAAACAGGTTTAGGCTCATAACTGGCTCTCTCAATTTTCAGTGATACATGATTATTATGGTCATGGCCCTATTTTCTTTGACTATGACTTTCCAAGGGAAAGTCAGATTCAGGTGATATTT